GATGGATTCCTAATAATAACAAACTCTGAAAACGTTTGTTCAGGTGTGTTCACGAAAGACTCGCCGATCTCTCTCTTCCTAATTGACAGCAATTTAACTCATTCATTTAACTGATTACTCTGACTAATCAGTGCAACTCTCTTGTAGTGTCTATCACTGCTTTTGTTTATCCTATTTCTATTTATGATTGACTTCAGTTCATTTACTCGACCGAAATATCTCTTAAATTCATTTTGCTAACTGGTTTGGGTTTCCGGGACGCCATGGAGCTCGACCACTACTCGATATCTCAGACCGACGTAGGTGAAGTGGAGTTCCAACCTGTCACCTAATGGTTGGAATCCGGATTCTTTAACCATAAATCCACCACTCCATCCAGATTTTCTAAGTAGATATATTTGAGAAAGCACGGCTTTATTTATGGGTTTTTTCTTGACCTATTTATTTGCTTATTGAATTGAAATAATCAAGGCAATGTTACTATATAAGGCAGTTGTTTTCCTGGATGGTTCACCTGCACTAATGATGATGTCATATGATCGGATTTATTTACAATTGGTACTCTGAGAGTTTTGGTCATTAAGTATCCTTCACTAGGTTAAAAGTAATCTATCAAGGACAAAAGCTAACAATTTTATGGAAATTTGTTCACAAATAAATGAATACTTGTAAAGTACATCGCCCAGCTTGATAAATAGGTTGGAAACATATTTGATTGAATAATTAGTTCGTGCACTCGACGTCCAAGTATATAAAAGTTTATATACAAGTTAACTTTTATAATATGCCACAGAAAGACCAAGTTATTCGACAGCAACCAGGAAATCCTAGTCGGAGTGGAACGCCTACCAGTAGGGGTGCATCCCCACACCCAAATCGAGGGCTATCGCAATCACCACGCCGTAATGACACATGTTGTTATTGTTGCGGTTAGTTTTTTCATACCGACCTACTATTTTAGTCTTTAACACGTATTTTGTTAATTATGTATTAATTAACACGTCAGAGTGTATTGTAACAATAGCTAGGTAAACATAAATTTGTTATATGAACAATTATACGGTAAACGTTTTTACCAGACGACGTAGACAAATATTTTACGCAATATTTAAATCGATTAACATATCATTATTACAAAGAACCAAGACAGTTCTATCTCAATGAAATCATTATTGGTTAGCTCATCTGAGATTATTGATGCAAACTCTGTGATAGGAAATGAAATCTTTTCCTCACAATATCAAGTTTAACAATCATACCACATGAACTGAGATTTTCGGCAATTGAGAGATGAGAAGTTATGAAGTAAGGGTTCGTACCTGATTTGTACGTAATAATAAGTGTGAATTTATTAGATTTGTTAATTCTATGTAATCTACCTTTAAAAATCTGTCACATAACTCACCACCTATTTTATTCAGAAATTTTCAAACATCGACTATATATGTGATGTTAATATTTTTGGCACTGTTCTCCAAACTATAAAAAACGATATTGTCTGACTATGAAACTGTCCTACGCATATAAACAAGAGGGAAAGTTAGTTCACTGTGACGTATTGTATTTTAAAAAGAATTTAATTAAAAACTGTTTGTCCAGTGTGTTAAATCAGGATAGATACAATCAGTGAACAAGAGTTAGCAAGTTAACTAAAGCAGTCATCAACGTGACAAAATCTAAATCACAGTGCACATATGAACTAAGAGATCCTTGGTGTCTTTTAACTCAGCAGCGTAAAAGAAAACATTACCACCTTTTGTGTTTGAGCACAGTAAAAAATCTACTAGTATTCCTACTAAACAATATTTTCTTTCATTGATAGGCAAGAGGAGGCCAAACAGTAGGCGAAGTCCAAGACGTGGACGCTAAAGAAGAATTCGGAATTTGATTGTAAATGATCTACTGTTGGATATAAACTTTGAACAGCTGTTAGGATAAGAAGTTCGATTTTCTCAAATAAATTTATTTTTACTAGTATTTTCTGAAACATACCAGTTGACCATGGTTTTAGTGGACCAAGAATATTTGTCTCATATATACAGCGTTCCAAGTCATCTTCAGCATTCTCTTGCTACCGAATCAAATAATATTTGCGAAATTACGCCATTAAGGAAACTATGTACCAAAACACCACTTTCTCCCAGTAAAGCTTAATATTTGTTCTACAAGGGAATTATGAAACGAACTACTTATTATCAATATGAGGTACAATAAAAACAGTCTTTCCTGTTCGGTGTGAAATGTCTTGTAAAGAAGAAGAAAAATGGTTCAGCAAATCTTGGGATTGTGGCTAACAACAGTCAAGCACAATCGGTGTTTCGTGACTCATCAGATAGATAAACGTGGGTTAGAGTTCGTGTTCACACTAAGACCAGTAATCAATATCTTTCACTTCAAACGTCAGCTAAGCTACTGAGTTCAGATAACCACTAAATTGTCCATCAGGAATGAAGTTACTATTAACCAGTCAACTTTAGTTTTGAATGCTAAAAACGAGAAAATACAACACCGTAAAAATAAAAAACTGTTTAATAATTTTACGTATGATCATTAAGTCACTAGCAGTCTTCGTAGACACTGGAATTCAAGTTGCATTTAGCCAACTAAATATTTGAAGAAATCACATCAGACACGAAGTTACTAAAAAAGCATTCTCCATACTTTCTAATACAAGAGCCACGTATGTCGTCTATGTAGTCGAAACTAAAAACCTGACTTTGTAGAAAACACTATCAATTCGCCAACCTCTCACCAGTCACTGCAGTGTTTTATCAGTCAATAACTCAATCAAAATTACAAGTAAATATTTTGGGACTAACATTTACTTCAGTAATTGAAAAAGATATCACAGTACTGAAAGTTCAAGGAAATTATGTATGTCATACTTAACCATGTAAATCATTCTAACAGATGGTTCGGCAATCAGTTTTTGGTTAGCTGGTTTGAGGGGATTTATTTCATATGAAGACAGTTGTTATAACACAATGACACCAAATGAATGACTGGCTAGATACTTTGTTCTGATCCGACATTCTTAATCAGTGCTCACTCATGACCACACAGAAAATCTGACTGTCTACAGTGAAGTCCCACCATCTCGTTGAGGCAAACAGTTGAGATCCTAAAGTCAACATTTCCGACTTCAACTAGATTTTGATGTGTCATAATCATCATCTGATGCCATCCATATTCTGTTGTCCGTCTCACAGGTGCATTGTTCGCTATGAATTCTGAGCATCCCATGTTCCAGTGAGTATAGAAACGTGAGTGTATGTTTGTGTCACTGGATTGAAACCACTGTTTATTACTTTCTGGTTAACAATGAAATCACTTTTTAGTGAGATGTGGTGTTCAGGTTACACGAAAATTCCCACAAAACCATATCAGTAATTAAATTTGTTATTGTTCGGAACAATGTGTTCTATTCATAGTCAATGGAATATGTATTTATTAAGATATGATACCAGTTTACCGTAATCACCAATCGTCATTTTCTAATTAATGTTTCTTATGCGCTCATGTAATCGTCTGTATTAATTATTGATTCCTCACTAACGAACGCTTGCATTTCAAACACACGGATAATGATTTAGATCGCTTCAAATGTATCTGTAAAATGATTCAACTCAGTACCTTGGTTATCGGAAAACACCTGATATTGTAAGATCAAAAATATACACAGTAAACGTTAATTCTAATATATTGGTTATAAATCTAATCGCTTCATGATACTTATATTTTATACCTGAGAATACTTTTATTTTGTCAACCAACAACACTATAGTTTTCTTACATTCTAAATTGAAATTAAAAGAGCATTACCATTAATTGACCATTTAAATGTAGACACTATCTAAGGCGCATCGAACTTATGGAGATTTTTTCATTGAGATACTGACATCTACTATTTATCACTAAAACTATCTTTTACTTGCTTCATAAGCAGAGTTAAAAATATCTTTTCCGCTAGTTCATTCTAACAGAGAATCCCTTCGTTCGGTATCATCATTCATAACGCTGATTCTGAATTTGAGTGGATTAAGTGACTTTTGCCTTTCTGAAGTTCATATATGAAATCGCTTTCCAACAAATGTAAGTTAACCCAACAAAATGTGCATTTTATATGTCAATTTTTTTAAACTATGATGATTATACTCTGGAAATGACGAAGTTAATGTATGTCAACTTGAATTGTTCGTTCAGGCTACTTTCCGATTATATTTCTATTAGCCACGTATATATAAAGTCAATGATTAGTCATTGATGTAAAGGCATAAAATGTTGTGAAATGATTCTTGAGAGCTAGAATCCAGGAAGCATGTTTCTAAGAGAACTCCAGTGTTTCCACATATGTGTTGATTTCACGAAATTAGCGTAGTTAATTATATCAAGTTCATTATACAGAAGAAGAGGTTTGAATACAAGTGTTTAAACGTTTAGATATAATTCATATTCACGGTTGCTCTATGATGACTTTGTATCACTTCACATTAATTCAGATTTAGTTTTATTTCAATATGATCTCATGATGGCATAAATATTTTGATGGTGAATTATGATTTATACTTCTCTGTATTTAATTTTTAACAATATAACATTGATTAAACCATTTATGTTACATTTAAAAAGCAGGTGAGCTCAGTTTTTAGATTCTTCTTTCTATGACAAGCATTATAATCTTATGAATTGATGGTGTTGTAATCCAGTTACCATAATCAACTCGTAGTTATTTTATTGACAAGTTTATTTAAAATTACATAGTGATTTCTTTGTCAAATCAATTAATTTTATCAGTTAAAGCTTACAAATGATCGAACTTTATTAACTTGCTCATTTAATCACCCTCATTTTTTGTCTAGACAGTTATGTGTTATGTTTGTTTAATTGTCTATTTATTCTATTCTAGAACAAACCCATTCAGATTATTTACCGAATCGAGTGATATTAGGTTTGTTTCTAAATTTTCTAACGATAAGTTTTTACATTATTGATTCTCTTCAGTTTTCATAATAAAGACGCTTAATTGAACATTAAACATAGACCTACTGGAATATAGTAAAGATGGAATCTAAGAAAGAAGTTGGAACTATACTTGATCAACCTGGAAAATCAGTACCACCACGTAATCTAACTCTGGTACCTCCACCTCATCGACAATGGACTAGTGGGATTTGTTATTGTTGTAAAAATAGGGATTGGGGTTAGTTTAACTAAAATTTTCATTCATGTTTTAATTCTTATGATGACTAGCTTCTGATGCAACGATTTAAAAATAGATTTATATTCTATTGGATGTAAACATATCATGACACATGTGTATTTAAATCAGGGAGTTAGAGTAGAAAATTATGTCATTCCACACTAGTCCTAATACATGACTAAAATGGTAATAGCTTTGTTTTTATTTCAATTAATTAGAAATAGTCGGCCAACACTTATCAGTGAAGAATATTTTCAATTTACAGGAAGTTGATCCACTAGTAAATTTCAAACCTAGATTCTCTAGTGTCACATTTAGAGATGTAAACATTGAACATGTTGGGTTTCGACTGCCAGGTCTGATTTCTTTTGATAGATAAAAATCCATCAGCAATATTAGTGATTAGTACACTTAGTATTAAGTGTGAACTCAATGGAATCTTGAAAAAAAATAAGATGACCAAATTATTGCGTCTGTGATTTTTATTAATGATTTGATGATTTAATTTGCTAAATAATAATAATTGACTAATTCTGATGATTATCAATGCATAATTTACAAAAGGTATTAGTTAATTGAACGATTATTAATTGAACTCAGCAGTGCGCATCCACGATCCCGCCCCCCGCGAGATTCTAACCCAGGACCTATCAGTCTAGTCTAGTTGGCTAAGCGACTGGCGTGAGACTGATAGGTCCTGAGTTCGAATCTCTCGGGGAGCGGGATCGCGGATGCGCACCGCTGAGAAGTCCCATACTAGGACGAAACGGTCGTCCATCGCTTCCAGGTTTTCCATAGTGGTCTAGCTTCAATTGACTCATGATTTCAACCAGTGAAATTTCTAAAAATCTCTACAAAACCCATTCTGATTATTAATTGTCTTATGAACAATATTCTATTTGTAGGTTCATTACATGATACGAACCTTAATGTAACAAAAGTCTGTTTCTTTTACTTTTGATAACCATTAAATCATGACCAAATAATATAATTACTAGCTCACTAAATAATAACTATCTTTGTTAGATGTAAGTTGTTTGAAAGAATAAAAGATTTAGTTGACAGAGGGTCTCAGAATATGATCTCAAACTGTCTACCTTTCCTATGGAGTTCGTGAATAAACACTTTATATGTGTTATAACTTGTGACCGCCGATTAGAGGGCAGTGACTTATCGATCGGACCAAGGACGCGTAAAACACGTGCGAGCAGCCTAGAGTTCTGATTGGTCCTGCTTTCTGCCTAGCCCAGCCAGTTAAGTACAGAACACCAGTCTCAGCCTCTACAATATAAATCATTATATTTCAAACATACTGAGTTTATATGCCAATCAAACAGACCACAACGTACCAATAAAATGTGAAATAACATTAGTACAAGAATTAGCTGGATGTGGCTGTGAATGAGGGAGGTAGTAATTAATATACTGGGTATAACTCAAGAATGGTAAAATGTATAATAATAGTTCATAGGTTAAAATAAAGCTTATAATAAGAGGAATATGAATATGAATAGTTTGGTTACTTAATAACTATACAATAGAAATATACGTTTAGTATTGGTCCATCAATAGATTCCAAAAGTTACCATTCATTATTCTTGTCGGGACATAACAGTATGCTTTAGGAAATCCTAGATAAAACTACTTATATCCTGTTAAATGACCCAAACAGAAGGTAATCGTCTTTTGACTGATTAATTGCTTGTAATCGAAAACCCATTGAAACTTACTACAAACCCTAAAAATTTAATAAGTCAAGCAATAATACTATATTCACTGAATTGTTTAGAGACATATTCCCAATTTTAACGATTTATGTACTAATTGGTTAACAAAAAGGCTGAGACATTTCACATTTACTCTCAGCATTTGCCACATACTCCATTAAGGTCTAATTTAGAATTAATCAATATAAACAACTCGGTAAATATTAAACTAACATGTCAGTTCATCGAAAGCCATTTTTATTAAAAATGTATCTAAACATGATTACATAATTTGTTTATGTAAACACTTACATGGCGTAGCTTAATTTCTGATACTTTTTTCTTCTATTCCGATCCCTATTACAACTAATAAAGTAATTAGTGTGATACTTTATTCATTCATTGCGCCTACATGATAAAGACTATTTACTTAACAAGAAATTTAAACAATTATGTATCATTAATATAAAATGCATATCTATTGATCTATGATTAATATCCTGATTGAATCCCTGAATGTCACACGACAGAACTACATAATGTAAAGCTATGTGAAGTTATGTTTTATTATCAAGTGTTAAAAGTCAATTAAGATTAGATTGTCATTACTAAGTAACATGTAACATTAGATTCGTTTGTATTATCCAAAATCGGTACTTTATTTTTACAAAATAATATTAATTCTTTCTCGCTTTATATACACAATATATATTTATAGTAATATTTAATAATAAAAATTTACAGGTTGTTTTGCGGTATGTTGTTACTTCTGTCTATTAAATCAACTGACAAAAGCAATGAATGAAAAAACGTGTTATCCATGTTTACCATGGTGTGGATTAGTAGGATTGAGAATGAAAATGCGAACAACTTACGGAATAGAGGTATGCAGATTGATTGTAATCACCTATAATCTTACAACTTTATGCAATGCATAAACTCATTCAGGTTTACATATTAGTCATTTCAAAATTAATTATTTTATTTTAATTTCAATAGTTAAGATCATGAGTCAGTTGAAGCTAGACCACCATGGAAAACCTAGAAGCACTGGGCAGCTGTTTCGTTCTGTTGTGAGACTCCTCAACAGTACGCATCCACGACCCCGCCCCCCGCGTGACTCGAACCCAAAACCTACTGGTTTCGTGCGCGAGCACTTAACCACCACTAAGGAGTCCCACAATAAGACGAAACGGCCGTCCAGTGCTTCTAGGTTTTCCACGGTGGTCTAGCTTCAACTGACTCATGATCTTAACCATTGAAATTACTATAATATCCACAAAATCCATCTGAAATACATTTTATTTTACTCAACAATCTTCAATTCACATAATAAAACCTTAAATGATATACTTTATACTAAACCTGGATACTTTTTGGATGATTAATTTAGATATATAATTGTAGAACCTGGAGAGAATTGACTGAAAAAAATCTTCTTCGTTCATATCTAAGTACAATGAAAGCGTTTTTCATCTAATTATTATTCATTTGTTTTTGTGAAAGCTAATCTTTTCTGTAATGGCAGATAATACTATCTAAAATCTAGATGGTCAACTATTTTTATCATACTTAAATAATTTGCAATCTCAGATACAAATATTTATTTTGGTAAACAAAACATCACTTATAAACAAAGATGGATTGTGGCTAGCAGTGGAATACAGAACTCGCCTTCCGTCGTATTTGTGAGTCGTCAACTGGATCTACCTGGATCCCAGATTTAATATTCATTCAGAGTTCATCACAAGCCAAAAATAGGACGAAACGCGCGTCCTCGATTCCACTGCTAGCCACCATCTATCTTTGCTTATAATGCTTGTGACTTAAGGTAATACTGAGGCATTCCACACAGGATTTACATATTTTAATAAGAAACTGATCAATTATAGTCTTAGACATCAATAGGGAGATTCAAACAAAAAATACAAAATAAATTGAAATGTAAGTTACGTAAACGGATCGTTATTTCGTAAGAAAAGTAGTGAAAACTATTTAGTGACATAACTCTCCTATATTGACGTTTAGATTAAATATTATCTTCTCTAAGTATATATACATATATATATATATATATATATATATATATATTATATATATATATATATATCAGTCAACCTTTCGTTAATCTACATAATAATAATATAATTTAGATAGGTCCTGGGTTCGAATTTCGCGGGGGGCAGGATCGTGGATGTGCGCTGCTGAGTCCCATACTGAGACGAAACGGCCGTCCAATGCTTCCAGGTTTTTCATGGTGGTCCAACTTCAATTGACTCATGATTTCAACTATTGAAACTAAGCTTAATTGAAAATCGTTTTCACTATAAACTATCATCAGCTAGTGAGTGAGTAACTGAAAACCACCGACCACTATATATCTGTTTCGTCCCTGTTTACAGACCTACATGAGCGTGCATCAGAAAGAATGGAATGTTTCAAACTATTTGTTAACGAAAGAGAATTTGATATCAAAACTGTCAACCATTCAGTTAGTTAAAATCTTATTAGCTCAAAAATATTGTAACTGAAATAATCTGATAAAATAATTTACGGCTTACGTATAAACCTTTTATTGTTAGTTTATACTCTGATTATTTCAATTAATTGTTTATTATGAATTTTATAGTCGTTGGAATAAATCTTAGACTTCATAAAATGATGCGTTTCATAATTAGAATACTTAGAGACAACTACCTGTAAAAGTATAAGAGTTTAACACATCTTTAGTTTTTTCTTCCAAAACTACATAACATAAAATGTGTAATTTAATAATCTTTCATTATTAGTTACTTAAAAAATACTTGCTAAGCCATGGATGATAAGTTTTGCTATTGCCACGCCTAAACTGTCTTTTTAGAAGGTTGAGATATCCCCAGCTACTTCTACACGACAACTGAAACACCAGAGAGAAGGCACAAATTGTGAGTTAAAGTTTTATTTTAAGGTTAATTTAAGTACATAAAAATGTGGGTATTTATAAAACCACACGCGACCTTTGGCTTCGAATATTCATGGAATATAATAGCATTATAGATCAACATCCCATCAAAGCTATGGCACGTGATTCAATTTTTTTAGGTATTTCTGCAAATATTCTATTCACCGCTGACTGGGTAAAACTTTTATTGGTTTTCTTGACTTCTAGGGACTTGGATGAAAAGGTTTTGAAGACTCCAACAACAACATAATGCTTGATCTAGCAAACGAATTCTTGCCAATCTAAAATGTATACTACTTATTAGTAGTTAAGTTGTCATTGAAGAAGAAAGAAGGCTATACATCGTAGAAAATGTTCTCTACGACGATTTCATTAGGCCGTATAGTCGTATTTATAGTTGATTTTATTTGCTAAATTAGTGTTCTATAGCAAGATGGAAGGATACTAATCATTTCAAAGACTTGAAGCGGTATAACAATAAACAAATTCTTGTTATATCCCACTGAGTAGAAACATTATATTTCTGACGTTTTGTGACTAAATGTGAGCCACTTCTTCAGAGTAAATTTACTCTGGGATATAACAAAAATTTGTTGATTGCTAACCTTCTAGTTAATGCTCAACTTATTTGGAATTATCAAGTCCAACCTTGGCATTGATACCTATAAACTCATTGAAGTGGTACTTTGTCAGGAATTGAAAATCAGGTATTGAACGTGAGTTACGTAACAGTTGGCCATTGAAAAAGTGGTAAGGTAAAGATAATTGTCCACTTGACAGCTATTCTACAGAATAATTAAAAGTTGTGGTATTCGTTAATTATTAGCTGTGAAAATAATTGGAAAATAGTATCAATGACAAAATTTAAAAAAAACTAGATTACAAAAGTTAGAGAGGTTGGGATCATAAAACAATGAAGGACTGAACATCCTGTTTTTGTACATAAACGTTAGGGTTGAACTGGTGAATGGCCATAGCCTTTGCTGTACATAAGTTCTTCATTTACATTCTTACTGAACCAACTCTCCTGACTGTATGTGTGATTTTGAAGGAGGCTTCTAGTGAAGCAGAGTGTTCAGAATTAACTAGATGCTTCAAGATTGAGCTTTTCAGTGACTTCTGTAATTCTTTGGAGAGCCAGACAAAATAATGCTCGGAAGCGCGTTTTGAAAAAGTCCGCCTTGTGTGGTAGATATAACCTGCTGCATATAAGCAGGTAAACTGTTAGATTATGGGAAATAATTTTAAAATATCTATGAATTTTTATGACATTATTCAGTAACTGATCTCTGCCTCCAATGTCCTGGTATGGCCGAGAGTAGGGTAGACCCGCCCTCCTTCTCGAAATGCTCTCACACGGCCACGCGTATACAGCCTCCGCCAGGGAAGTCCTGCTCACTGCTTTTTCGTGGCGGGGGTGTTGTTCACGAAATTGAGAGGAAGAAAAGCGAATATCCGGTGCTTTAACCGGATTCCAAACCAATGGTGCACATGGGCTCCAGCATCCTTTGGGAAAAAATGGTGTATGAACCAATCGTTGGTCACCGGCTACCATGGGACTGCATCTCCTCACGATGCTCCACTCCCTTGTGGGTTAGACCTTTAGGTCAAAGGCTCGGGTAGTGGCCCCCTAAGAAAACCACCTGCTTCGGTCTGGGCATCCGGTTAGTCTCACAGCCCACACACAAATAAAATGATAACGACGATATCTACAGAAAATTCTGTTCACGCTTCGATTTACGGTCAAACAATTCCCATTATTATTATTATTATTATTATTATTATTATTATTATTATTATTATTATTATTATTATTATTATTATTTACCACGTCATTTATTCACTCTCTTTTATTCCCACTTTGTGTATCCTTATTTTTCGACTTATACAGCAGCTCGCTCATGGTGTAAACTCGGTTCTATCTAAATGTTCTCGAGTCAATGCCAGGTTGAAAGTTGTATGTTACCACCAAATACGAATACTGAAGCAGTTTTTCTGAAACCTGCCTTCAACGTTCGCATACTCACACAGGTCAGACAACAGATAGGGCTGACTATGTCTTTGGAAAGTCTTAATATCGACATTTGTTGTTTATTAGAGACCCGTACTCAAGACTCTGGCGAAGCACTACAAGTTCGATCTCCACCTGTCGCTTCAAAAAGCTTGTCTTACGTGCGTTTATCCGGTGACCCTGTGGTATCTTCGTCTGGTCTTGCTGGCATTGGTGTCGCACTAAGCGCTAGAGCTGAGGCAGTACTAATCGATTGGATCCCCATTAACAGTCGTTTATTTGCTGTTAGATTAGAGAGTTCCATCAAAGTGAGAAGAAATCAGAGTGAGAAACGATGTCTTTTCGTCATCTCCACCTATGCCCCGACAGATTGCAGCCCGGATGCAATCAAGGATGAATTTTACCACCAGTTATCTGTTCTTCTCCAGAAAGTGCGTTCGACAGATATTGTAGTACTAGCCGGACGGTCGGGCGTCTAGGCACAGAAGAGAGTCGTTTAGGTGGCCGATGGGGACTTGTTGGTCGCAGGACAGATAGCAAAGACCGTCTACTGCAACTGTGAACAGACCACAAACTGTTTCTGGCTAGCACTAACTTTCGGCACAGTCATTGCCGATGTGCCTCCCTCTGCATCTCAAGCCTGGACTCAGATTGATCACATCGCGGTCAGCTACCGCTGGCGTGGTTGTGTACAGGACTGCCTCTCCTTTTGTAGTACCTATCTGGACTCTGGTCTGCGCCGATCTTACCTTATTTTTAGTGGACAACGAAGTGACTACCACCAACGGATTGATGTTAGCAAGCTTGTTGCCGCTTCTGTTGCTAGTAAGTATCGAACCGAGCTAGTTTCTAGGCTAGCTACCATTCCATCGAAAAGTATAAATGAGCATTGGCTGCGATTGCATGACGCCATGAAAATGGCGGGCACAGTC